TAAATAAAATCTTTAAAAAAAAAAAGTTGAAAATGGTTTATTATTTTCTAGCCTCAGAGATGCAGATGAGACGTATGAAACTCATTTGCTTTCCTTTCCTTTGTAATTAACCAATTTTTTTCTACCTTTGGAATTAAATAAATAATCAAATAATTTTACTGTAAGTCTAGCACTTGGTAACCCTTTTGATCTGAAAATTCAAGTATGTCTTCAAAAAAGGGGCATTCTTTCCCTAATATTTCTTTATTTCCTTACCATGTTTCTTAGTTTCCTGATTTATGTATTAAGGATATATTTACAGGTCAAATATCCTGATTGTGCCTCTATTTGACCTTCTAGATTAGCAATCCAGTTTTCATCTGTATTCTATTTCTATCCTACTCAATTTTTTATTTAGAAATATATATATATATTTAAGATTTATTTATTTGAGAGAGAGAGAACAGAGGGAGGGGCAGAGGGAGAGGAAGAGAGAATCCTCATCAGACTGTGCTGAGTAGAGCCTGACACAGAGCTCGATCTCACGACCATGAGATCACCACCTGAGCCCAAACCAAGGGTTGGACGTTTAACTGACTGCGCCACCTAGGAGCCCCAGAAATATTTTTTAAATCTCTTTTTACTTTAGAAATATTTTTAAATCCCTTCACTTATTTTTAAATCCCTGATTATGTGTCCTTAAGATACATATTTTCGGGGCGCCTGGGTGGCTCAGTCATTACGTGCCTTCAGCTCAGGTCATGGTCCCAGGGTCCTAGGATCGAGCCCTGCATCGGGCTCCCTGCTCCGCGGGAGGCCTGCTTCTCCCTCTCCCACTCCCCCTGCTTGTGTTCCCTCTCTCGCTGTGTCTCTCTGTCACATAAATAAATAAAATCTTTAAAAAAAAAAAGATACATATTTTCTTAAGTTCTCTTCTGTTTCTTCCATAATCTGCCTTATTAGGAGTCACCTGTTCTGATTGTTTTTGTCTCCCTCCTTCATATGAGTGACCTGTGATTTCTCTTTGGCCTCTCATTTCAGTGAATGTAGGTTCCTCAGCACCTATAAAAGTCAGGCTATTTGAAACTCAGGTAATATCAGTCAGGGAGAAATAAGATTCTTTTGCCATGTATTAGCCACAAACAAGCTGTTATAAGAGGGTGACTGAGGGAGGGACAAATGAAGAGGCTTCTAGAAATGTTTCTCAAATTTCTAGCTGTATATTAGAATCATCTAGGGTGCTTTGATGCCCAGACTTTTCCCCAATAGTTAAATCATGATCTCTAGGCAGGGCTCAGCATATTTTCCAAAAGCTCTCAAGTGGGCAGTCACTGTTGAGAAGCCCTGCTCTAGAACATCAGGTTTCTCCGGGTATGAGCAGTAAGTAGGAGTCCTCTTCCAGCTACAGAGAAGAGGAATGTTCAGCGCAGTAGTGAAGCTCTCCCCACAGAGAGCTAGAGTTGAGGCTGTTACCTTCCCAGAATCCTCATGGGGCCTTGAAAGAGCCTGTGCCCACATAACTGAGAAATGGTGTGGGCAGTAGCAAGCGAGGCATGAATCTCTTTTTCCACTCACATAAAAGTTTCTCTCTTCTCTATCCTTACAGTTCCCACCCCACCCCAGCCTACTTACCTGTAAGTCCTACTTTACCTAAGATTCTAGAAATAATTGCCATATGTAAACATGACTTGTGTATCTCATTAGTATCTTATTTTTAATGATTGGAATACATGATTGTATATTTCAAAAATACAGCTTATATTTGTATTAGCTGGGTTTTGTTTTTGTTTTTTTTGAGTGCCTACTGTATGTTGGAGAATTTTAAACTCTTCACATATTTTAGTCCATTTAACTCACACAACAACCCTATGGACTACATACTATTAATATCCACAGGATAATGATGAGGAGACGAGGAGACTGAGGCACAAAGAGAGACTGAGGCACAAAGAGGTTATATAACTTGTCCAAAGTCACAACTAGTAGGAAGTAAAGCTAAGTACAAACCTGGCAACTGGCCTATAAACATCATTCTCTTCATCTCTATTCCAGGCTAATGTCACACAAAATATTAAACTAAAGGAACAAGGAATTTGGCCAGTTAAATTTCACTATAGGCTGCAAGTGAATGCTCTATTCATGTTTAATTATCTTTTTTACATGCAAGTTTATCCTATTGTCATAAAACTATTCCTAAAAGGAATATTCTTTTGACAGGTCTCAGTGTAGATTTATTTTTAGGAAAATAATTCTTCTAATGAGAAGCCCCTATTAATCTGTTAATCTAAAGAAAAAATATTCTTTTTTTGTTGTAACCTCAGTATTCTTGTAATTTTCGGTGACAACTTAAATACTTTTAATCTGTCTCTTCGCCTCTAACTTGTTTTCTATTTCTTACCACTTTATAAGTGGTAAAATTGCCATTTTCAGCTGATAATCCAGTACTAAATGCTTAGGTAATAGAGAAATCACTTTGTCTCTCCTTTAAAAATTCTTTATCCAGGTAATTTTTTAGTTTTATTTAATTTTAAAAATTTTTTTAATTTAAATTCAATAAATTCACATATAACACATTATTTGTTTCAGGGGTACAGGTCCAGCTAATTTTTTTTTTAAGATTTTGTTTATTTATTTGACAGAGAGAGAGAGAGAACAAGTAGGCAGAGAGGCAGGCAGAGGGAGAGGGAGAAGCAGGCTCCTCGCTGAGCAGGGAGCCTGATGTGGGGCTCGATCCCAGGACCCTGGGATCATGACCTGAGCCGAAGGCAGCAGCTTAACCGACTGAGCCACCCAGGTGCCCCTCCAGCTAATTTTTTAAAGGGATTTTTGCTAAAATGAGTATGATTCTTTTGTAAAACATCCAATTATGAAAAGTTGTAGAGAAGAGTAAGTTTGGTGTTTACTGAGAAATCTTAGAGAATTTTTATACAGATTAATCAAGAGATATTTTTAATATTTTATCAATTCCCATTTATCCAAGAAAAATACAGAAATCCTGAACTAATAATAACATGGAAAACATGTCTCTGGGAGTAAGTGAGAAAGAAGCCCTAAGAATTTGAATGGTTCTCAATCTCAGCTTTATGTAAGAATCATCTGGGGAATCTTGAGAATAGTAATGCCTGGGCTTCACTCCAAACTAATTAAAGTAGAATCCAATTATTTTAAAGCTCCCCAGGTAATACTAATGTGCAGATGGGTTGAAAACTACTACTCTGAAAGCAAAGCTCAGCTACAAATAAACCTGGACAGATTTCACCAATTAGGTGACCACAGCGCCAGATTGAGAGTTGCTATGATATTCATCAAACCATGGAAAAAAATGGAACGAACAGATGTTGGTGCTGGGCAGCAAGATTAGAGAAGCACATAAGCTTATGTGAGCTTATTTGAGCAGAGACTCAAAGGATGGTCCCTGGACCAGCAACACCAGCATTACCTGGAGACTTACTAGACATGCAAATGATCACGCCCCAGCCAGACCTACTGAATCAAAAACTCTGCAGGTGCAGCCCAGCAATCTGTGTTTTAAGGAGCCCTCCATGTTTGAGACCCACTGGGCTAGAGCAGTGCATCTCTATCATTAGTGTTCACAGGAATCACCTAGGGGATCTTGTTAATTGCAGCTTCTGTCTGGGAGAGGGTCAGACATTCTGCATTTCCAACAAGTTCTGGGGTGATAGGGTGCTGCTAGATGGAAGACCACCCTTTGAATAGCAAAGGGGCTAAAGGTCAAAAATGAAAGAAGCCTGCAGTGACCAGAAAGTCACTGGTCCAGGTGGGAGCAGTTATGACATAAAGTTTAGGCTAAGCTGAGAACTGTGTGAATTAGATCTGACATCTTGGCTCACTGTAGGAGCTAGGTTTGCAAGCATTGGTGGAGACTGGTATCCTAAATTATAATTACCATAACTTATAAGACCAGGAACTGCATCTCAAGATATGGAGGAACTGAATCTATCCAATATAACCAATGAAACCAGGCTATCATTGTTGATATGAGAAACTTTCAGCCTCATGCTCTGTTATTTAAGCAATCATTTTGTTATAGCTGAAGAAGATTCACTGCAAGAATGGGTTGCTTCCTGGAAGAAGAATGCCCCCTTCCTGAATACCCCACAGACATCTAAAACTTAATACATCCAAAATAAAACTCAGCTCTTCTCACTCTAATCCTCTAATCCACCCCAATCTGCTTTGCATCATATGTTCTCCTAAGTACAAAGTGTCATAATGCAGCTAGTTACCGAGCCTGGAAGATGCAAGTCATTCTATGTTCAGAACAGGGTGGTGGTGATACTGAGCACAGGTTCTGAAATCGGACTGCTAGAATTTAAATCCAGCTTGGACCACATATCTGTGTGACCTTGGGCAAGTTATTTAACCTCACTGAGATGGGCTTTTCATCTGTAAAACTGCACTGAACGCACTGAATGGTCACACAGAAAAAATGAGGTAAGAATCTCATTCTTAAGTCCCCCCTCCCACCACCACCAATGTACGACTGAAATTCTATTAATTCTACATTTTATTATTTCTTTTGTCTGGATTCTCCTCTACATTTCTGATGCCTAGAAAAATTATATAGCATAATGCACATACAGAATGCCAGTGAAAAACCAAGTATGACATATTCAGGCTACCCTTTGTAAGTACACAGAGAAACTGACTTACTTGATTTCTAGATGGACTTCTTTTGGAGTCTATTGGTCTAAAGTTTGAAATAAATCCTGACATTAATTTGAGGCAATGTAATAGAATTCAAGACAAGTCTTTCTTTAAAAATTCAGAATTGTAATTAGTACCTAATTACCATCTGTAATAGTAAGATATTTTAATAAATATTTTATAAACGATGAATATTCAGAATGCTGATCAAGTATGTTGTAACTCATAAGCACTATGAAACATACCTGTGTTTGACAAAGCTTACATTTAATACAGATTACGTAATCTAAGAAAAATCTACAGTAATGCTTTAAAACTCCAAACTGAAAGTCTGAGGTAGTTAGGATGGTTACCTTTTTGCTTTTTTAATTCTGTATGAATTATCTTCTGTGATCCTGGGTACTTTCTTAGATATGGATGGAACAATGGCCTCTTCAAATTCTAAGTGAAAGTCAAACGTCAGGGGTGTAACCGAAGTATTTTTCTTTCCTTGACTCTGAAGGCTGTTTTTCTGCAGGAAAGCCAAAGTACAACATTGTGAAAAAATGAGCACTTTTCATATAGGGAAAATCCTGTGTGGAAAGGAATGAAATTAGTCTCACTTTATGCACACACACAGAATTTATGTGCTAGTCAATAATGGAGAAATATTACAGATTGAAAACTAGGGGCCTTGTGTACCAACATTTTTTAGGCTGTTGCTGTGTGTCCTGAGCTGCTCTTTTCCCATTCATGAAATGAAGGAAATTTGGACTAGATGATCATGAAGGCTCCCTCGTAATTCTAAAATTTAGAATTGAAGAACGACCTATAAATTAAGCAAAGACAATCCTCATACATAGAGTTATTGGAAGGAGAGCAACACGGTCTCCAACCTGCTGCTCTCACTGTCCCCAGGAACATGGTGAATCACTCCAACATTGGTCTAGTTGCATGAGCCAGAAATAGAGTTAAGAAAGCAATCAAAAGACTTTGTTCAAATATTTATAGAGATGGCCAAAGAAAGAAAAGGATATAGCTTAACGAGTTAGTTAAGGAGCCAAAAATCTTTTCTAAAAAAATCTTTCAGCACTGCACAAAGGAATAAAGTGATGAAAAATGTGAAAGCAAGTCAAAGGATAAGAACTTCTGTTTCTGCCAATGAAGGATTAAGCACTACAGGAATTGCCCACCTGCTGTAAATAACTAGAAAACCGGACAAAACATAGGAAAACAACTGTAATCAGGCATTAGAAAGTAGGCGGGGGTGGGGTGGTGTGGGGGAACCATAATCCCCAGGAAAAGGGAAACAAATGAGGTAAATCCCACAATAGCTCAGCCTACTTATTGGAGGCAGTTTCCACACTGAGATGCAAGGGAGGGGGACTCACTTCAAACCCTGGGCCTTAACCTTGTTGACTTTAAGAGACAGAAATTGCACCAACAATTACATTCTTGGGCATTCACCCCAGAGAAATGAAAACTTATGTTCACACAAAAACCTGTACACAAATATTCAGAGCAGCTCTCTTTAATCTTTTTTTTAAAGCAGCTTTATTTTTAAAAGCAAAATACTGAAAACAACCCAAATATCCTTCAATGGGGAAGTGGTTGAAACTCTGTACATCCATATAATGGCATACCACTCAGCAATAAAATTTATATATTATTTATAATAATAAAGCTATTGATTCATGCAAAAACTTAGATGAGCCTCAAGGGCATTATGGCTTGTTCACAAGCAGGGGTAGTGGGAGAGGGAGAAGCAGGCTCCCTATTGAGCAGGGAGCCCTATGTGGGGCTCGATCCCAGGACCCAGGGATCATGACCTGAGCCAAAGGCAGATGCTTAACCAACGGGACCATTCAGGCGCCCCTCTTTAAGTATAATTTTTATATATATCTATATGTTGCTTATTTCCAAAAGTATATTTTAATTTTATACTTTAAAAAATAAGAAAGTTTTGGGCGCCTGGGTGGCTCAGATGGTTAAGTGTCTGCCTTCGGCTCAGGTCATGATCTCAGGGTCCTGGTATCAAGTCCCGCATCGGGCTCCCTGCTCCCTGCTTCTCCCTCTGCCTTTCTCTCTCGCTCTCTCATGAATAAAAAAAAAAAAAAAAAAAAAACAACTTAAAAAAAAATAAGAAAGTTTTAAATTTTGATTATATATACTTTCAAAAGAATTTCCAGAGAATTCTCTCTCAGTAACACATAAAGTAGGCATAGTAACACAAAATCAGAAAATACATTGAAATGCTTTGCACAAAGGAAACTCAGTAAAAGGTAAGAATTATTATGACTAATCACGTATAAAAGGGAATTCCAGGACAAATTAAATAGATTTAGCTCTGATTATATTTTCTAAAGTACATTTCATTTTAAACAAAAAATTAAAATGGAATGAACTTGGGGTACTTAAGTCCAATATGGTTGCTTTAGTAAGTTACTCCTGGTTTGCTATTTCAAAATTTGGGTAACGATAACAGAATGAATTTACTGTTTTTTCCAATATTTCCCTACTTTATTTTCTGAATAAAAGGAGACAATTATGGGCAAAAAAGAAAATCAAGTTATTATTCAAGCATCAGAATTTTCATTTTCAGGTTCACAAATATGTTCAGTCACTTTAGAGCTCCTCTCTGTGCTATTTTCCTTGATTTCTTGGACTCTATGCTCTTTATGCCTCATTTACCCACATTGTTATATTATTTTGCAAGTTTTTGTGTAACCAAATTAAATTGCTCATATGTGCTAAGAATCTGGTTTTTTTCCTTAAAGATTTTATTTATTTGTCAGAGAGAGAGAGAGAGAGAGCACAAGCAGGAGGAAGGGCAGGCAGAGGGAGAAGCAGGCTCCCCAATAAGCAAGGAGCCCCATGCGGGACTCCATCCCAGAACCCTGGGATTATGACCTGAGCTGAAGGCAGACGCCCAACCGACTGTTCCCCCTCTTGCTGTGTCTCTCTCTGTCAAATAAATAAATAAAATCTTAAAAAAAAAAACCCATATTCTTTTTTTTAAGATTTATTTATTTATTTGGGAGAGAGAGAGAGAGAGAGAGAGCGCACATAAGGGGGGAGGGGCAGGGGCAGAGGCAGAGGGAGAGGGGAAGCCGACTCCCACTGAGCAGGAAGCCAGATGCAGGGCTCCATCCATGACTGGGGGGTCATGACCTGAGCTGAAACCAAGAGTCTGACGCTCCATCAACTGAGCTACCCAGGCTCCCCAAAAACTATATTCTTTATTAATATTTTATATTGAATTTTATAAAAGTCTCACCTTTTTTACTTTAATTTTTATGACCTTTATTTTTAATTTGGGTAACTATACCAAATATTTTCTTCCTTTTAATAAACCAATTAAATAAATTTTTATATGTTTAAAATATTAGAACTACGGTAGTCACATTTACTATTTGACTGCCTATTTGATTTTTTTATCTTAATCACTTTAGATACATATAACCTAATGTAATATGGCAGCTATCCAATAGCCAAAATATGGAAAGAGCCCAAATGTCCATCAACTGATGAATGGATACTTTAAGAAACAAAACAGATGAACGTAGGGGAAGGGAAGGAAAAAAAAAATTAGAGGAAAACAGGGAGGCAAACCATAAGAGACTCTTAACTTTAGGGAACAAACTGAGGGGTGCTGGAGGGGAGGTGGTTGGGGGGATGGCGTAACTGGGTGATGGACATCAAAGAGGGCACTTGTAATGAGCATTGGGTGTTATATGCAACTGATGAATCACTGAACTGTACCCTGAAACTAATGATACACTATATGTTAACTAACCTGAATTTAAATAAAATCTTGAAAGAAAAAAATAATGGCAGCTATCCAGAAATTACCTTGTATATCTAATTAATTCTTTATAGTATACGCTTACATGGACTACTTTTTGAACTAATATTATTTGCTTTTTACAAATCAGTTTATATTTCCATATTAATGCATCATTAACTAAAAAGTAAAAATCATTCACATTTGAAATGATTAAATTTTAATGATTAAATTTAATTTTAGCTTTCATTTACAAACCTTCGCTCTTCTGGCCAAGAGTATCTTTGCCTGTTCATCCAGAATATCGAACTTCTCTAAGACTTTTTCTGCCATTTTCAGTCAGTAAACTCCTATTTAAAAAGGAGAAAAGAAAAGAAATCTCCAAAACAATTAAAATTTAAACATATAATTTGATTATTTAGGCATAAGAGACCCACATTTACATTACTGTTTGGGGTACAAAAGAGAACTGTATAGATCATGGAATCAATCATGGGATTATTAGAGGTATCCAAGTTTTTTTTAGATAGAAGGTCACATGATCAGAATTCCCAGATGTGTGTGGACCTTAGGAATGTTTAAATGTATGATGTGACTCATACTTGAAGAAAGGGCATATGGCTTGATTCATACCTATTTTCTTTTTGTTGTGATATAATTTTAATGAAAGTAAATGTGAAGAGTTCACATTTGTATAATTAATTGCATTCAAATTAAATTGATCAATGATCCTAGACTGTTAATACAGCACTTAGAAAGCGGCCAAGCTGGTTGAGTCCTATTGCCCTAATAACTCAAATTCTCTAGTCAATTAATATTGCTGAAAATTACATCTGAGGTCAGGCAGTCCATATTAGGCTTGGGAGCCTGAATGTTAGACATCAGGACATAAAGCACCTTTTCAATGCACTACAAGTAGCTAGGAGCAGAGTAGAGGCAAATATCAGAATATTAACCCCAAGGTCCCTCTAGATTTTTGCTCAGTGAATTGAATGTGCTCCAGTGGCATTTAAATATAAACATGGTATGGTTCACAGAAAGTATTGAATTCATCAATATTTCCAAGGAACATCAATGTCAACACAAAGGTTCTTTCTAGCTCAAAAATATCTATGCTATTTCTCTCATATTGTATATTATTCAATCAGGATCTCCCAAAACAATAATGCATGAAAAGACAAGGATTAAGGATTCTATGCCAGAAGCTCACATTATTTAATACTTGGTTTCTTTTAGCAGTCTTTTCTACTCTTGGACTCTTCTGGGCCATGTGGCTGCAGGCAGATTGTTTGCCTTGTTACAAACCATATAACCTGAAGTTGCAGACTGGAGAGGGGATATGTAGGCAAGGGTGTTAGCACAATTATGAATACCTCAGACTTTCTGGGTCTCCTATTGAAGAGTACAGGACAGATTTTAGAAGAGAATATAGATTATCTAGACACTGTGTGTTGTCTTTTCTAAGCCAGGAACCAGTCCTCTCATACATACTAAAAACAACTAAAGGAATTTTAGTTTCTGTTTTTTTCCTTAAGCATAATATGAGTCCAGGGGGGTGGAGAAGACTCCCATATTTCTCACCAAAATTTCTTTAATTGGGGACAAAGATTTCATTTTCTCAATAAGGGATAGAAAGGCAAATAACTGTAAAAACCAGAATATTGAAGTGAATGGGTTTCCCAGTTTGAGGAAGGGATAAATTACACAAGGGACAACTGAGGCACAAAGCTTACTTGTGAGAGGGAACAGAAAGCAGGTCTTTTTAAAGGATAAGATGTCCTGCACCTCTCATTTGTCACACATCTTCAACATCACATCAGACATTTTAGGATGCACCATATCATCACATTTTACACACACACACACACACACATACACAGAGCTGTAATTTGAAGGAATTGTTTTTTATTTAAAATTATTTTTCTATAGTAAATTACTTAGCCATGATATGATTTCTAGCAAATCACTGTGCATATCATAAGGTTTTCTTGAAGTGAGAAAACCTAAGCAACAAATTATTTTTAAATGTCAATGACAGTTTTATGAATACTAAATTTGACTGTTAATGAAACTGACAGAATGTTATTAATTTTAGTTTTGTAGTTTTATTTTGTAGTTCATATTTTGAAGCCTATACTTTTTTTCAGTTTGCAAATGTTTTCATAGGTCTTTGGCAGTGTGCCAGTGGTTTCTAATGGATAAATGGCCATGGGACAAAGTGGAGGTGAGGAAACACTACAGACTAACTTGCTTGATTTCATCATTATACCAAGGGTACCAAGGGCTTAGCTGTATCTCTTCAAACAAACACTGACAGCAAAGCAACATCGGGCAGGTCTACTACAATGGTGTATCCGAACTGCTGTGCATAAACTAAAAACTAATCCTTTAATGCAAAGTACTCTATTACATGTTCTTCAATATGACTTTCTGTGTTTCAGTCCTTTCTTGATTCAATTTTTTTCATTTTAATGTCTACTTTAAACCAGCATATTGATTTCATACTTCTACTTCATACTTCTATTTCTATGAGCACATATTCTACTTCTAAGCATATATTATTATCAGATGGTAAACATTTAATTGTTCATTTCTTCATTTGGCTACTTAACTGTATTACATGAGTGATATTGTGCTAGGCATTCCATCAAATCTACTGAGGAAGTTGGCACCTGGCACACATTATCTTCTGAGCAAGGCAGATGGGCTCCCCTCTATCACTAAGAAAACAGAGGCCATCAGTCTTCTAGGTGGCTTAGTCGGTTAAATTGGCTCAGGTCATGATCTCAAGGGTTGTGAGATCAAGCCTTATGTGGGCTCCATGCTCAGCAGTTTCTGCTTGAGATTCTCTCCCTCTGCTCCTCCCCCTCGCCCTGCTTGCAAGCACCCCCCTCTCTCTCTAAAATAATAAAATAAATAAAATCTTAAAAAAAAAAGAAAGAAAACAGAGACCATCAAGTAAGAACTTCTTCAACTTCTCTCTCTCATGCCAAAGTCTTATCCGCATCTATTCCCATCTCACTTGTATTTTAATTTTAATGGAAGTGTTGCCTCTCCCATCCATAGTTAATCCCTCCCAGGGTACTCTAGACTATTACTTCTGTCCTCCTAAAAGAATTACTTCCATTGGTTGCACCATCTCTCTGGTATGGGTCAATCTCTTTTCTTCACCAATTTCTTCTCCTTAGCATGCTCACACCTCTTCTAGTTTTAAAAAAGAAAAAAAATTCTCCCCTCACCCTACTAGCTGTTATTTTCTCTCATCTTCCCTGATTGACACATTTCTTAAAATGCTCATCTTTACTTAGGGTTTCTAATTTCTTACATTTCTTTTCCTTCTTAATTTACCATCATTTGGCTTCCTTCCTTACTCTGGTACTAAATCTACTCTCACAGAAAGTACTGAATTCAGCAGGGTCACCATCTTATAAATTAGTGAGCCCTTTTCTGCTCTTATTTACCCTATTTGAATGTCTACAACTTTTTTTTTAAAGATTTTATTTATTTTTGACAGAGAGAGAGTGTGTACAAGCAGGGGAAGCAGCAGGCAGAGGGAGAGGGAGAAGCAGGCTCCCCGCTTGGCAGGGAGCCCGATGTGGGGCTCAATCCCAGGACCCTGGGATCATGACCTGAGCCGAAGGCAGACGCTTAGCCGTCTGAGCCATCCAGGTGCCCCTGTCTACAACTCTTATTCATGTTGACTACTCCTTTCTATGGAAACTGCCCTCTCTTGGTTTCTATCACAACAGTCACATCTTCTTACTCTCTGAAGATTCTTTCTTCCTCCAATCACTCCCTAAATACTTGTGAGAGGGAAGTGTTCCTCATCCTTAGTGTTTCTAAGGGCTCAGGCCATCTTTTTCATTATTCCATACATTCTTTGGGATGACCTCCTAAACTCATAGCTTCATCTACCACCATCTGTTTTCAAACAAAATCTCTGAGTTCCAAACCCATATTCCTAACTCAACCCAGATTTTCCACAGGTAGCCCAAATTAGATCTAAAAGTAAACTTGTCCACATCCTCCTCCATCAGCCAAAAGCCTCTTTCAACCTTTATTATCACATTAGTTATCTCTTAGACATCCAGCCCATAAACTTAGGCATTGTAATAACAATCCTTGTTACTGCAGAATGAACTCGGAAATTTCCAAGGAATACAGATGTCCAGTTGCTACCCCAGGCCTGCTAAGTCAGGATTTACAGAGGTGAAGATAAGGAATCTATTTTTTAAAGCCATACTGATGCAGCTATTCCCCAAACCAGGATTTGGTCACCACTCTGCTGGAAAACTCCCTCTCATCTGCTCCCTAAATATACACAATCTTTATCTTGTCTTTGCTACATCTTACATATCCTCTCAGTTTTTCTCCTCTTATCCATTCACATTGCTATTGTTTCTGTTTAGGGTTCCATAACTTGTTGCCTGGATTATTGCCACAGTTTCAAAATATGTCTATACTTTTGATCCATTCTATCTTCCATTCTGTCCTTCACATTTGTCTGACTTATTTTCTCAGGAAAACACACACACACACACACACACACACACACCACATCCCTAATTAAGGCTTCAATCTCTCCCTACAGCTTTCAGGACAAAGGGTCAAGTTCCTTGATTTATCATGTAAGAATCATGATTTGGCCTCCAAGTCTTTAACCTCGTCTGCTTCTTCTTCATGTGTACATGATACCCTAGTCTTAAGGAACAACTTGCAGTTCCTCAAATGTGTTGTATTCTTCTTTACTTGTTGCTTGGCTTCTGCTGTTCCCTCTGCCTTCAAAGTTGTTCTTCCATTCCTTGTATTTCTAAGGTCTATTCATCCTTCAAGACCCAACACAAATAACACCTCTGCGGGGAAGCCTTCTCTGATACACTGTGATTTATTTATTTATTTATTTATTTTATTATGTTATGTTAGTCACCATACAATACATCATTAGTTTTTGATGTGGTGATCCACGATCCATTGTTTTTGTATAACACCCAGTGCTTCATGCAGTACGTTCCCTCCTTAATACCCATCACCTGGCTGACCCATTCCCCCACACCCCTCCCCTCTAAAACCCTGTTCGTTTCTCAGAGTCCATAGTCTCTCATGGTTCGTCTCTCCCTCCGATTTCCCCCCCTTCATTTTTCCCTTCCTTCTCCTAATGTCCTCCATGCTATTCCTTATGTTCCACAAATAAGTGAAACCATATGATAAATGACTTTCTCTGCTTGACTTATTTCACTTAGCATAATCTCCTCCAGTCCCAACCATGTTGATGTAAAAGTTGGGTATTCATCCTTTCTGATGGCTGAGTAATATTCCATTGTATATATGGACCACATCTTCTTC